CTGAGGATCCCCGGAGCACAGGGTCCTCTGGTCCACGTGGCTGCGGCTCAGCCGAATCGTCTCTCAAGGCCTCCCGCGCTGCTTGCTCATCAGACCTCGCAGTTGTCGCCTTCCGCAAGTGTTCCTCCAACCCAAAGCTATCCTCGCTAGAGGCTGGAGCCACCTGTGCTTTGAGGTAGGCGGCAGCCCTTAAGTAAGCGCAGTGCCCTCGCAGAATGCTACCGCTATTCTCAGCCCCACGCACCAATCGCCCGTTCACTATCGAAACCTCCTGGAGACTATTAAGAAAAATGGACACATTCTCAGACATGTGCCTTGCATGATCAAAGGATTAACGCAGATGGTCCCGACCGCGCGGCTGGCGCCTCAAAAAGTTTTGCTTTTCAGCTTGCTAATGCGGTGACCCAGTGCAGAACGCAGCCACCTTGTAGGATGTCGTAGTTGAAGATGAATGTAGAAATCTCTCTCGGCACACTGTGCCGGCACAAGATACGCCCAGCAGGGGGTAGACGCGCGCGGAATTTTTCCGGTCTCTAGCCTCCCTTTAGGCCCCACTCGACCCGACTAATATCCCGGCGCGGCTAGCTTAACGCAGATGGTCCCGACCGCGCGGCTGGCGCCTCAAAAGGTTTTGCTTTCCACCTTGCTCCCCTCATGGGATTTGCGGATTTCCGTTGGTGCCGCCATCTTTCATTTGGACAAAGTTGACCTACCAAACACGAGAGATCTGCTCCTTCCCCGAGCACTACGTAAAATTCAATGTCGCATTACGCCACGGAAGACATCAAATGCGAAGGAACCATGCAAAAGAAGGGCGGCATGCGATGGCAAAAGCGATACTTCATCCTCTACCAGAACGGAACCCGACCCGCACAGCTTGTCTACTTCAAGGACAAGTCTACCGATGGTGATGCTCGGGCCACGTTAGAGCTGACATCAGACACAAAAGTAGATCTCCTCCTTGGCAAACCTCACGCTTTCCAAGTGATCTTAAAAGGCATCGCCACCGAGTTGTATTAGACGGAAATGAACAAACGATGGATTCACAGGTCGTGCTCTCAAAGTTGCTGCGGAGACGCTAGAAGACCGAGAAAAATGGATGAAATGCTTTCGTGATTGTATCTCTATGGCCATTAGTCAGACGATGGTTCACGTGAGTACGAGATCTATTATTATTTCCCATAGGAGTCCTCGTTTAGTTTTCTGGGACCAATTGGTTTGTGGACCCAAAGCACACTAGCACCCACATAGCGACGGGAGTCGGGTCTCTATGCAAATTTGCACCTAAATATGGAGGTTAGGTATAAGCTATTACGGAAGGTCGGTTCTGGTGCGTATGGATTTGTAGTTGCCGCAGACGATGCGCTCATCATGCGTCAACTACATATCTCAGCGAACATAGAGCATCGAATGTTTACTAGGTGTCTTCTGGTAAGCAAGTTGCGATCAAAAAGGTGGCGAGCGCCTTCGAGGACATGGTAGATGCCAAGCGTATGCTCCGGGAGGTGAGGCTTATGCGCCAATTCAATCACCCCAATGTGGTCAAGTTATATGACATAATGGAACCTCCTTACATCGAGGATTTCGAAGATTTGTATATAGTTACTGAACTCATGTCAACAGATTTGCAGAAGATCCTCTATTCCAAAACGAAACTTTCAGAAGAGCAAATGCAGTATTTGCTCTATCAGCTCGTAGCGGGCATGAACTATATCAACTCAGCTTCTGTTTTACACCGTGACCTAAAACCGTCAAACTTACTCATTGACATCCAGACGTGCAATTTACAGATTTGTGACTTCGGCCTTGCACGCGGCACCGCTGGCCAGAAAGACGCAATAGAGGATGCACCAGCAACGCAGGGCCTGCCAATTATGCAACCCACCCCAGAGGCAGCGAGCACGGAGCAGCAGGAATACACAGAATACGTCGTGACTAGGTGGTACCGAGCGCCCGAGATCATGCTCGGCTTCCACGCCTACGACCAGGCTATTGATATGTGGTCAATTGGTTGCATATTTGGCGAAATGCTTCTTTTGCAGCCGGTGTTTCCCGGTAATGACTACATTCACCAACTCAAGTTGATTGTAAAAATGTTGGGTCGCCCACTGCAGGAAGATCTTTGGTTTGTTTCCAACCAGAATGCGATGAATTTCATGCTACAACTCCCCGACTATAGACCTCAAGTCCTTAAAACCAAATTCCATAATGTGAACAATACCGATGCCCTCAGCCTCCTCGCATTGATCCTCGTATTTGATCCGAAGAAGCGTATTTCCCTCCACGATGTTTTTCAGCATAAATACATCGAGGAGTTCCGTGAACACGAGCTTGAGCAAGATGCAGACTTTCATGTCAAGATTGATGATGTTGAGACGACAAAATTAAACAAGAAGAGCCTACAAAGAATGCTATACGGTGAAATCCGGGCTTTTCATCGCCAGGCACCTCCTGACCATGGTGTCGAAGATGAGATTAAGGACTAACGCGCCTTGTGACATTGGGATCTGTCGTTGCCCAGAGACCTCATGCGAGGAAAAATCTCGGTCTGTCTGCGCGTTGAGTCTGCGCCTTGATTCTTTATCAGCGCTTGGGGGCATCTCCATCATGCAAGAAAGAAACAGTGATGTGCGTGTCTATCCGGAGTCCGACAACAGCCTTTTTTGTACGCAAGGAGATAAGCCGATGCTAATCTCCCTTATTTTTGTTCATGCTTGCGGCTCTGTGACTTCTTTAGATTTAATGTACGAGGGTCGGTGCCCTGGACTTTCAAAATAGCCCCCGAGCCGGTTTGCCCGGTTCTAATAGGCCATCGGCACCATAAGCCGGGGCTAGAGCGCCGGTCCATTCTAGACCCAGGCTTGGCATAACAAGGCTGTTAGATTCTTCCACAGGACCACGCCGACAGGGAATTTCCGGAGCTACTATGCTAGATTATGCTGCGTCCTCCAGGCGCCTACCACGGAATTACCACGGGTCGTAAGTTGAAGTCACATTGTCAAAGGATTGTGACTCGGAGGCTTTTCAGCTAAATACTAGGTAGATGTTGCTGTTCGCTCTCGCCTAGTAGCCTAGGGTCACTAGCGCGGGCAATCAGCCTGGTTAACACCAGGGCAGCCTTCGCTAGATGTGAGATAAGAAAAAGCGGCATTCAAGTTTTTTTCATGCTGGCAAGGGGCAAAAAAGAGAAAAAGAAGGGGAAAAAAAGAGAAAAAAAGAGAAAAAAATTGGCGCCGAAGCCGCCGGGACGCGTTAAAACAGAGGCTCTCACCTCGCCGCCGCGCACCACATACAGCAGGGCCACGGGGGGCGCGTATTTCAGGACGGAGTGACCTCGATCGCGAGCTCCGGGGTACGGGGTGGTAAACTTTGATCAAATCCTACTTGGGCGTACTCGGGGGGGCTCGGGTGCCTTCCCCTGGGTCCACGGCGAGTTCCTGGCACCTATTTTCTGGGCCGGTCGGTCGGTTGGTTGGTCGGTCGTCGTCGTCGTCGCCGCCGCCGCCGCCGCCGCCGCCGCCGCCGCCGCCGCCGCCGCCGTCGTCGTCGTCGCGCGCGGGGGAGTTTCGTACCTAATTCAGTCGCAGGGCGACCGTAGAGCGGTGATGAGTTGCCCCATGCCCGCTATCACGGTATATGAACCCGGGGATGCAAAGATCGAGTGGGGGCGCGCCCCGCAGTCGCAGTGATCGACAGTCTCGCCGCAGAAGGCTGCCAGCAGGAATTTTTGCGCTCTCGAACCCCGTCGTCGCTGTCCGGCGCAGCGCGCGCGCTTTTCGTGCACCACCTAGCGCAAAACGGCGCGGCGCAGGCGCATCACATCATCGCAGGTTATCCGTCGGTCGAACGATCCCCCCTGGATAAGCGCCCTAGAACGATGCAGTTTTGTACGATTTCCGTCCACTTGAAGCAAGGTAAACTTTGAACTCCTCCGTCGAAGGGGTGCTGAGCTCAATTCAATTAAGGGTGCCAGAATGAAGGCCGACAGACCGCGCTTGGATGGCGCAGCCACCTCAGCTCTTTTCGAATATGTTCCGAGTCGGCCGCCAGCAGCTGCCAGTGAAATTCGGCATCCCCGACAGGCCCGACGTTATGTTGCCACGGGATGCACCACGTGCAAGAGCCCACAATAGCCTCAAAGAGCACGCCACCAAAATTTTGGGAGCTATCTTAGAGAGATAGAGAGGTTTGTTAGCATGCGGGAAGGTCCTGGAGCGGAGTACGGTTAATA